TGTTGATTTCAATGCTTTTCTTGCTAAATTAAAACTTAACCCTTCACCACTAGTTTTCCTATTAAATGGCATAATTTTTAAATGTCACTTAGCCAGTTGTTATTAAACAAGTTAAAAAGCAGCCGAACTATGAATGCTTCCACGCAAACACGTCACAATACCGAATTTAGGGAAAATCCGTCCCCAATTCTTTCTCTGAAATGTCTCCATTACTTCCTTTTGAAAATCCTATTCCCAAGTCCGTTTCAATGAAATTGAGAAATCGAAAAATTTAATTCCTGCTCTGGACATAGTACAAATTGTCAGTCTGGTGCGCATAGACTACAATTGGAATGTTTTCCCCTTATTAAGGTAGAACCCATGCATAAACGGACTCAAAATGTAACGTGGCTCAGGTGATGCCATTACAGTACACAGTGAAGCCATCAGGGTCCACACCGGAGAACATAAGGGAGCATTACGCGGGAATGCAACAGGCGGATCCGGAGTTTTGTAGAGGGTTTTTTTTCCCGAATCCGGGTTTTTCGTGGGCCCAGCTTATCATTGAAGTCGTATTGGGTCATCCCGTCGAAGCATTAGAAGGCAATCTTCTGTTACCTATATTAGAAGATTGCCTTCTAATGCTTCGACGGGATATCTATACATATACGGTACCTTCCGATATTCGGTATTTTGATGATTTTAGCGACATTATTCGCTGGAATTGTTTCAAATTTGGAATTTGAAGTTCGTAATGGATACTACAGCCTAAGACAGAAAATAATCTGTGTAGGTCCACTTCTTCGTATAGCCCCCATATACCATACCCCCCGATATTCGGTATTTTGATGATTTTAGCGACATTATTTAACGGAATCGTTCCAAATTTGGCATTTGAAGTTCGTAATAGATGCTGCAGCATAAAAAAGAGAATGGGCCATGTAGGTCCACGTCTTCGTATAGCCCCCATATACCGTACCCCCCGATATTCGGTATTTTGATGATTTTTGCGACATTATTTACCGGGATTGTTTCAAATTTCGCATGTGAAATTCGTAATGGATACTTCAACCCATGTCAGAAAATTGTCTGTACAGGTACGTATAGCCCCCATATAACGGTACCCCCTATATTCGGTGTTTTGATGATTTTAGCTACATTATAAACAGATTTTTCTTCAAGTTTCGCATTTAAATATTGTAATAACTTATGACAAAAGTTGCCTATGCAGGTCCACGTCGTCGTATAGGCATTCGGTATTTTTAAGATTTTAACAGAATTTTTAACGGATTTTATTTTATTTATTTATTTATTTATTTTTTTTTTTTTTGGGAATTGTCAAATTTGTACCTAATGGTGGGGGGTATTAAAAGTTCGACCCAGCCAAACGTTCAGCTTTTTTAATTGTTTTTAGTGGCGCATATACTTAGATGGTGTATGATGTGCTAGCAAGTTATCACAAATTGTCCCTTGCTTAAAAGTCACGTGATGAATTAATTAAGACATTATCGTTAGGAATTAGATGGAATGCTCAAACCATTTTATCCTATTTCAATGTAGAAAAACCTAGTTATAGTAAGCGAGAAGTGTTATCCTGTATGGCTAAACTTTTAAACCCAGTTGGATGATTAGGTCCTTTGATAATAAAGAGGGATTTGTTAAGAATGTTGACCGCGGCTGCGTCTTAGGTGGTCCATTCGGAAAGTCCAATTTTGGGCAACTGTTTCGAGCATTTCGGCCGGAATAGCCCGAATTTCTTCGGAAATGTTGTCTTCCAAAGCTGGAATAGTTGCTGGCTTATTCCTGTAGACTTTAGACTTGACGTAGCCCCACAAAAAATAGTCTAAAGGCGTCAAATCTCATGATCTTGGTGGCCAACTTACCGGTCCATTTCTTGAGATGAATTGTTCTCCGAAGTTTTCCCTCAAAATGGCCATAGAATCGCGAGCTGTGTGGCATGTAGCGCCATCTTGTTGAAACCACATGTCAACCAAGTTCATTTTTGGCAACAAAAAGTTTGTTAGCATCGAACGATAGCGATCGCCATTCACCGTAACGTTGCGTCCAACAGCATCTTTGAAAAAATACGGTCCAATGATTCCACCAGCGTACAAACCACACCAAACAGTGCATTTTTCGGGATGCATGGGCAGTTCTTGAACGGCTTCTGGTTGCTCTTCACTCCAAATGCGGCAATTTTGTTTATTTACGTAGCCATTCAACCAGAAATGAGCCTCATCGCTGTACAAAATTTGTCGATAAAAACACATTTCGAACCGAACACTGATTTTGGTAATAAAATTCAATAATTTGCAAGCGTTGCTAGTTAGTAAGTCTATTCATGATGAAATGTCAAAGCATACTGAGCATCTTTCTCTTTGACACCATGTCTGAAATCCCACGTGATCTGTCAAATACTAATGCATGAAAATCCTAACCTCAAAAAAATCACCCTTTTGTAGCCTAAATGATAATGCAACATATATGACAGGAGAGAATAGATTGATAGGAGTCACTACCGTTTGCGGTATACCGAATATCAGGAGCTATTGTTATATGGGGGCTATATGAAGACGTGGACCTGCACAGACAATTTTCTGTCTTAGGCTGTAGTATCCCTTTCAAACTTCAAATACCAAATTTGAAACGATACCAGTTAACAATGTCGCTAAAATCATCAAAATACCCAATATCGGGAGGTACCGTTATATGGGGGCTATATGAAGACGTGTACCTGCACAGACAATTTTCTGTATTAGGCTGTAGTATTCCTTTCGAACTTCAAATACCACATTTGAAACAATTCCGCTGAATAATGTCGCTAAAATCATCAAAATACCGAATATCGGGAGGTACCGTTATATGGGGGCTATACGAAGACGTGGACCTACATGGCCCATTTAAGAACTTAACCTGCCCACTGGAAAAATGAACATGTGTGCAAAATTTTAGCCTTCTGTCTCTATTCGTTCGAAAGATAGCGTGATTACAACGGACAGACAGACGGACATCGCTAAATCGACTTAGAATTATACGCTGGTCAAGAATATATATACTTTGTTGGGTCTGACATGAGTATTTCGAGGAGTTACAAACGGAATGACATAGTTAATATACCCTCCATAGTATGGTGGAGGGTATAAAACTACCGCAGAAAATAAGTCTCGGAACGTTGGCTATGGTAGAAAATCACCATTGAAGACACCAATATTTATTAAAGTCAAACTATTAATATATGCCTTGAAAGCGGTTTGTTATTTGCCCTGTGACGATGTCATATCTTCAACATCAGCACCAGCAGTAGTCTGCGAATGATTGAGACATTTATCAAACATCTCTTTTCCCCTATTCCGTATTTCTTTAACTTCAATGACTCGAATTTAAAGTGCTCGAAGAGCCATGAAGTTGGCATCAAGTTTAAAAAAACTGTACGCTTTTAATAATAAGTGATATTTTATCTAGAAATAAATTGCAAAAAATCGAAGTATATAAAAACTGTACTAAACAACCACTATTTATCTTACTATATAGAAAAACACAAAAAAAAATCCCAAAACTATATCGAAGAATAAAAACTTTTTTTCCAGTGTATAACACGCTCAAATATATATATATATATATATATATATATATATATATATATATATATATATATATATATATATATAAATATATATATATATATATATATATATATATATATATATATATATATATATATTTATATATATATATATATATATATATATATATATATATATATATATATATATAAAATATATATATATGAGATTGTTTGATAACTATTTCAACAAACAAACCTTGTCGAATATTTGACTTAAAGTGAACATCAAACAAACAAACATATAACGTTACCTCAAAATATTTATTGTTATGCATGTTCTTTGAAACAATTTTTAACGGAATTGTTTCAAATATGGTAATTGAAACTCTGAACATACATACGTAAACCTCTGCACCTAAAAACGGTTAAGTGTACTTTATGATTTTTCACTCTTAAAACATTACAATTTTTTGTACCTTCCACAAAACCAAGGAGGGTATACAACTTTGACATTCCGTTTGTAACACCTCAAAATGAGTGTTGAGTAATACTTTACACTCTAAAAAAATTATATTTTTCATTTTTTTTTATTAAGGTTCAGTTCGTCAATGATCCATGACGGACCACGTCGTAGAGCTCCCACATAACTCTACATCCTGATCTTCGGTATTTTGATTTAAATTTGCTACTTGAAGCTTGAAATGTATTCTAACTCCCAATGCAGAACATTTTGTATATAGACCCAAGATTCTTATTGCGGTTAATCCCTATATTCGGTATTTTTAACAGATTTTTATTGTTTACATTTGTCCACGTTTTTCTATAGCCCCATATTTTGTTACTTCCCGACATTCGGTATTCTCATGATTTTAGTCACATTTTCCAGGATAGTGGAGCTTATGTAGAGCTTTTAATGGATTCTGGAATAGGCTTATTATTCCTAACATCACTCATCAAGTAATACATCCAAATATTTGTTTTTTTTTTTTTTTTTTGTAATTTTATTCATATTTTTTAACCGATTTTTCCTAAATTGTTTTTTAAAACTCGTTAACCATACCATCGACTTTACACCATTTTGAAGACATTTTACTGATAAAATTGTAATTTTGACCCAAATTTCAATACACATATCTTTATTTTTAATGGCTTTTTTACCTCATGATGAGGATATTAAAAATTAAACCGTTTCTACTTGTTATAAATTTACTCTTGCAATAAATAATTATGATAATAATAACTCACTTTCACTCACAACCAAAAAGGGGCATTAAATATACGAGTCTATTCCACGAGGAGGAATAAATTAATAAAGAAATCGGATTATATAGAACTTCTTGCTTCCAAGGCCTACTTTAATGTGGCTAAAGATTTCCTGGAGAATTTATAGAAACTTTTTGGTGAAATAAATAACAAGGTTTAGTAAAGGGAATCCAGATTTTTGGTTAATACTTACTTGCATGTCAGTGTTAATAGACTCCGGTATTACATCTGGATTTTTGTCGTCATCATTTGCGTCGATGTCCTTCTCTTCCGAACTTTTTTCACTTATTTCCGGAGTCATACTACGTTGAGTGTGATCGTTGCAATAGTCTTTTTGGTGACGGTCCCTTTTGCGAAATGGAATTCTAAGAGCAAATATAACGCCAAGTCCTGTAATTAGGATTGTCACTGTCAAACCAAGAGTCAATGATATTATAGGAGCTACGAAGAAATCAGATTCGCTGCGTGTTCCTTGAAAAAAAAAACGATGCATCAATATACTTTATATTAATTAATAAATATCATGAAGTATAAAAAATTAATATAAGTAAATGAGAAATATAAAGTATTTCTATGATCTTAGTAAAGTTTTCGATCTTATTGGTCACAACATTTTAATTAAAAAATTGCAGAATTATGATATGCAGGAGAGAGAGCTGTCTTTATTGAAGAGCTATTTACAAACCGAATTAGTTCAATTTGTTGAAATCCAGGAAGAAAGACGTTGTGCTAATTATGTAAAGTATGGGGTTCCAGAGTACAGCTTTCTGGATCCATTGCTGACGATATTTGTCTACTGTATCCATTCAAACATGAAAATTGAGTCAAACCATATATATAACGTTGATATTTGAAAAAAAAAAAAACTTTTATTGACTCTGAAAAATAACCCAATTATGAGACTTAGGCCTCATTGTCGATTTGATAATAGCTTCAGTGTTCATGTTGATGCGGAGGAAATTCGAGAGGCCAGTTTTGTAAAATACTTAGTATTTTTTTGGAATGAAACCTAGTGTGGTACCAATTTTGTCACCACCCTGTAAGGTTAATCAATGGACTAAATTTCTGACATTTCAAGCGCTTGTTCAGATTCATTGGAATTATTTGGAAATAATTTATGGTTATTATAAAAGTTGTCAATTGAAAAGTTGCAAATTCACCCATTAGATTTCCAACGATATCCTTACACAAAAACGTTTTTCCAACTTTACTTTTCACGACTTTACCTTTTTAGATTGTTAATCTATGAATGTATTTTCAAACATGTATATTACATTGGACATTATACATCATTTTCTTATAGAGAACACCAGTTCTATATACGTAATCCTATTAACTGAATGTATCATTCTGTCATAGTGAAAATTTAAAACAAAGGGTTGAATATTCTGAAAGTAAAGCATTCGACAATTTACACCAACAAATAAAATTATAAACAAAATTATCAATGTTCAAATCCCGATTAAATGAAACATTTAATGCGTAATGTTGAAGAATGTGTGGGCCCATTATTTGATTGTTTAAAGTATGCTAATTTCTTAATTATACATGTAAACAAATGATTTTTTGCCAACTTGACTCTCCAATGCCTATGGCACTGAGGCTAATTTTATTGTAATTATTATTTTTATGATGAAAATAAATCGCAAAAACAAATCATGTGTTAATATGCGTCAGAGTACTGTTCATATAAATAAGTAATTGAAGATAGTAGCATTTGGCTTTCTATTTTGTAAGTTGAACTCAAACTCTTTTCATTTGTATTCATTCCTAATAAAACTTACACTTCAAAAGGTTATGTGCTCAGAAATCTGTGAAAAATTAATTAAAAATTGTTTAATAGAACTTCAAAACTAAAGAAATAAAATTTTTGAAGACATAAAAAATTGATTTATTCCAATAAGCCTCAAATAATTGAAAAGAATTAGTTAAAATTTCAAGATCCAAGAACATAACTTGAAGAATAACGGATTTAAAAAAAAATAAGATTCTAGAAATTAAAACAGATTATGCAATATTGAAACGGAAGATGCGCGATTTATTAGACTACTATGAAGAAGCGATTGATGTTACAGCAAGTAAACTGAACAAGTAAAAAAGCTGTAAGTTCGGCTGGGCCGAACTTTGAATACCCTCCACCATTTGGTATAAATTTAACAATTTTCAACAAAATAAAATCCGTTAAAAATTCTGTTAAAATCTTGAAAATACGTAATGTAGCCGTGTATTAGAGTCTATACGATGACGTGGACCTGCATAGGCAACTTTTGTTACAAGATATCACAATATTCAAATGCGAAACTTGAAAAAAATCTGTTCATAATATAGCTAAAATCATCCAAATACCGAATATCGGGGGGTGCCGTTATATGGGGGCTATACGAAGACGTGGACCTGCACAGACAATTTTCTGTCATAGGCTGTAATATCCATTACGAACTTCAAATGCGAAATTTGCAACAATTCCTGTAAATAATGTCGCTAAAATCATGAAAATACTGAATATCGGTGGATACCGTTATATGGGGCCTAACGAAGGCGTGGACCTGCACAGACAATTTTCTGTCATAGGCTGTAGCATTCACTACGAACTTTAAATACAAAATCTGAAACAATTCCGGTAAATAATGTAGCTAAAATCATCCAAATACCGAATATCGGGTCGTACCGTTATATGGGGGCTATGCGAAGACGTGGATCTACATGGCCCATTTTCTGTTTTATGCTGTAGTATCTATTACAAACTTCAAATACTAAATTTGGAACAATTCCGGTAAATGATGTCGCTAAAGTCATTAAAATACCGAATATCGGGAGGTACCGTTATATGGGGGCTGTGCGAAGACGTGGACCTGCATGGTCCATTTTCTGTCTTAAGCCGTAGCATCTATTACGAACTTTAAATATTAATTTTGAAACAATTCCGGTAAAAAATGTCGCTAGAATCATCAAAATACCGCATATCGGGAGGTACCGTTATATGGGGGCTATACGAAGACGTGGACCTACATAGCCCATTTTCAATAACAAAAGTCCTGCAGACATAGTACACATTTGAGTGAAATTTTATCAACCTATTTCATTTCGTTCGGAAGCTAGAGTGAATTCCACAGACGGACAGACGGATAGACGGGCGGACAGTGATAAATCGACATAGAATTTTATGCTGATCAAGAATATATATACTTTGTGGGGTCTAAAATTTATATTTCGAGGTGTTACAAACGGAATGACAAACTTAATATACCCTCCATACTATGGTGAAGGGTATAAAAATGCAAGTCCACCATCTACTGACGGCAGAAGTTGTATAAAGGAAAATCTGATTTGTATAGGAAAGCAAATAGTTATGCTTAGACTGTGACAGCAAGCGTAGTAGAAAACAAGTAAAAAAGCTGTAAGTTCGGCCGGGCCGAACTTTTAATACCCTCCACCATTTGGTACAAATTTGGCAATTTCCAAGAAATAAAATCCGTTAACAATTCTGTTAAAATCTTAAAAATACAGAATGCTTATACGACTTGGACCTGCATACGCAAATTTGTTATAAGTTATTACAATATTTAAATGTGAAACTTGAAGAAAAATCTGTTTATAATGTAGCTAAAATCATCAAAACACCGAATATAGGGGGTACCGTTATATGGGGGCTATACGAAGACGTGGACCTGCACAGACAATTTTCTGACATGGGTTGAAGTATCCATTACGAACTTCACATGCGAAATTTGAAACAATCCCGGTAAATAATGTCGCAAAAATCATCAAAATACCGAATATCGGGGGGTACGGTATATGGGGGCTACACGAAGACGTGGACCTACATGGCGTATTTTCTGTTTTATGCTGCAGCATCTATTACGAACTTCAAATGCCAAATTTGGAACGATTCCGTTAAATAATGTCGCTAAAATCATCAAAATACCGAATATCGGGGGGTATGGTATATGGGGCTATACGAAGACGTGGACCTACACTGATTATTTTCTGTCTTAGCCTGTAGTATCCATTACGAACTTCAAATGCCAAATTTGAAACAATTCCGGTGAATAATGTCGCTAAAATCATCAAAATACCGAATATCGGGAGGTACCGTTATATGGGGGCTATATGATAACTTGGGCCTACATGGCCCATTTACGAACTTAACCTGTCTACTGGAAAATATACATGTGTGCAAAATTTTAGCCTTCTATCTCAATTTGTTCGAAAGATAGCGTGATTACAACAGACAGAGAGACAGACAGACAGACATGGCTAAATCGTCTTAAAATTTTACGCTGATCAAGAATATATATACTTTGTTGGGTCTGACATGAGTATTTCGAGGAGTTACAAACGGAATGACAAAATTAATATACCCTCCACAGTATGGTGGAGGGTATAAAAATGGATAAAAAAGTGCTGCTGAAGCTTGGTAATCCCAAATGATTCTGTTCGAGGCAAAATCAAATGATCAATTTTTTAAGATCTGCATCGATTTTTTCTCTTTTACAAACATTGACTTCATTCAATTGAGGATGTAAGACTACAAGTTGCAAAACTTAAAAGCTTGTGGACAGAACTCAATAACGGAATGAAAGGAGGAAAAGAAAGTAAACTATACCAAGTTTTATTATTAGTATGTAGAATTTTTAAAACTTTGCCAAATGAATTTAATGCTTCTGACTATAAAGGAAGAAAATAATTTGACATAATATAATAATTGAAATAACCGCTCAACTGTACCAAATAAACGGCAAGTATGTTAATGCCTTTGATAACGATATCAAGAAAATAATTTCTAAAAACAATAATTGCAAATCTAACGGGAAAAGGAGTGTTTGTAATTTTATTATTATAAGAATGGCCATTAAGTACTCGATTGTGGGGAATGGGTAAATGATGGCAAAAAAAGAAAGAAATTCTGGAGCAATTGCGGCTTAACAGCAAAATTTACCTTTAATTTGGAAAGAAAAAAATTCAGATTTTGGCGCAAACCGACAATAATAGACGACCATTTACAACTTTCTAAAAGTTCAGCATGTATTATTAAAGTCGCCGGTAGTGCAATGTTAGATGTCATTGGTAAAGGAATAATTAAAATGAAATCAAAGGTCAATAATAAGTTGTTCGATATTACACTAACTTATATTGGGTACGTTCCACATTTATCAAAGATACTTTTTTCAGTTTTAGCTAATATCTGCCACCCATTTCCAATTTCTTTCCTTAAAAGTTCTTTAAAGATGTGTACAACAATATAATTTGGATACTTCTTACAAAGAAAGTTTATTATTAAAGTAGCATTAAAAAAAGTTTTATCTCTTTCAAGAAATCAAGGAAATCCCGTAAAAGAATTTTTGAGTGATAATGCATTTAAAGAATCTAAGTTTGATGGTTATGAAACTCAAGATTTTATAGGTAAATTTCAAACTAGCAGCTTTAGTCATGCAATTGACAGCACTGAACAAGAACAAGTAAAAAAGCAG